GGGCTATAGTCCATGCTTTTTGCCTGAAAATGGCCAAAAAAGACTTATTTTGTATCCTTCATAAATAATGCATATTTTAAAAAAAAGGTGTGAAAATGGTCCAAAATCGATCCATATTTGATCAAAACCATGGGCTATAGTCGATGTTGTTTTTGTTCAAAAATGGCAAAGAATGGCTTATTTTGCTTATTTCATAAATAATGCATATTTTTGAAAAAGACATGAAAATGTTCCAAAATCGAGGCATGCACTACTTATAGGCCATCCTTAGGCTGTTTTTGGCAGGGTTTAATAATATCTGAAGGATTGAAGATGCTTTGGACTTGCAGAAGATTTCCCAAACAAATATAGAACCAGGTAATAAAGGAAATACCACTGTTCAAAAAGAATTCATAGAAAATACCATGAAATCACATTATACCTTGAGTGCATACCTGGGTAAAAAGTTGACGGATGTGAGCAATGAATTAATATCATTAATCGTCTGTACGTAGTGCATTTAATTAAAAGCATGGATCAAAAAAATCAGTCAAWTGATGTATCAGAAACAAGTGTTTTATGTAGTTGTGGTATAATATGGTTAATCGTATGTATTTTGCAATATTATTGGTTGCTGGTATTTAGAATACGTACATTGCTGTCAGATTTATAATAAAAGTATTTAAATCTTTGTTAACTTGTTGAATGAGGGTTGTGGAAGCTCAAGTCATCATTGTCCTCATTTAAATGAGCATCAGTCAATCGGCCAGGTGATTTATGTCCGAGGGGAATTATAGTAGTAGATGCTAGGTAAGCATCAATAGTTCTTTCCGTACATGCTGCAACAAATCGAATAAAAGGTCTCACATCTCCATGATTAGCTTGATTGAGATGCTCATAGTAATTGTGTCGATCTTGAAAGCGTATAATCACAGGAGGGAATCCCGCACGCATGAGAATAGTGTTCATGAGAAGTCTCGCCGTACGTCCATTCCCATCGGTAAATGGATGGATATATACCAGTTTATAGTGAGCTAGAGCTGCAAATTCTATCGGATGCAAAATTTCTGGGTCTCTTGAGAGAAGCCACTCATTAAATTCATTCATGAGGCCACCAAGCTCTGATGGACTTGGAGGAACATGGTCGCTAACAAAAACTTGGGTTTGTCGGTACCTGCCAGCTTCTAAAGGATGCGCATGACCAAGGACCCTTTTGTGAATTTCAAGAATATCATTAACAGATATGCTCTCAGATTTCTGAACTAAAGTACCATTAATAAATTTCATTGCCTCGTCAAGGCCAAGAACTTCATTATGTTCAAGGATACTCTTGCCAGATATACCCATTTTTGTCTCCACAATTGCACGAGTCATTGACAGTGTCATTGTATTCCCTTCAATTGCGTTTGAATGATAAATATGTTGATAATATGCTTCCCGTATCGCTCTTTTCATGGTTACACTGCCAGCAGGTAAACTAAAAAGCTTGCGTCGCTTTTCATCGATAATATCCAACATGTCTCTATCAATTTGTTTCACTTTCGGTAACGTTCTTTGCCGATTGGTCAAAGCTCTAGAATCACTAGGATTGATAGATAAAGCTCTGTTATAAAGGTGCTCTGCTTGGACAATGTCCTCATTTTCTAAAAACTCTCCATATTGTAATAAAATGTCAGGATGATTTGGAGCCAAAGCGATGGCTTGCTGAAAGAGTTTTATGGCTTTTTCTTTTTTGCCATCTATTTTCATTGTTGCGGCAGCTTTGAGGGCTGCTAGGGCCTCTCCTTCCAATGGTGATGGGTCTGGAATGATAAAACAAGTATTTATAATGAAAATTAAAGGATTTTGGTGAAGTTCATCTAGCATATGATTGGCAGCATATACATGTAAGGGGTATTAATAATGGTAATTGAACTTCGTGTCGTGCAATTTTGGTCTGAAATCAAACTTGCAATTACAAATCGCACTCCCGCTACACGGTCATGCGATTTTGTAATCGCGCGTTTGATTTCAGACCAAAATTGCAAGACACGAAGTTCAATTACCATTATTAATCACCCTCCTTTGAACCAATCATATTGCAGGATTTGGTAGTGATTACAAAAAGGATATGATTAAATAAATAATCACTCTTCATGAGAAAGTGAGTGGACCAGCCATGCAGCTCCATGCTTGTAGCAATAATATTAAAGAAATAAAATTGAGAATTATTATCCAGTTTTGAACATTATATAAAGGGTATTAATAATCACCCTTCATGAGAAAGTGAGTGGGATGGCTCCACTTATGAAGAAATAATATTTAAAAGCAACGAAATTGAGAATACTCCAGCTTTATAATTTCTCTGTTGAAAGGGCGACCCTTAATTTAATGTGAATTATCTCGAATATTTGACACATTCCAGTCAAGGAATTTCAAAGTGTTTGTATTGTTGAAGTTGTGCATTATTTTAACTTTACCGTTGGYATTTGTTATTTTGTAAGCTGAAATAAGGCTAAACCTATATAAATGAGTCAGTGATCAAGGAACACAGCCATATTCACTAATTTGCTTTTYATTTTTCTGCAATTTAACCTTAGATATCGCATGATTTCAAGATCCTTGTGGCATCCCATAGGAAAAACATCAATAGCTAAAACCCACTTTATAAATACAATGAAGTCTTATTTTAATTAATATTCAAATGAAACAAAATGGCAACACGTGATGATACATCATCTATCCATTATTTTTCCTATTTAAAAAAATAAAATTTAAAGCTTGGAAATAAATAATAATCTTAAATCTAAAAATGTCACAGAAGAGTATACCATAATTAAATTAAACCTTTTGAATTAAATCGTTTTTCGCAGAGAAATAAGCTTATGTAAAAGTAAAAGTGCAATCTAACACCAATATTCTTAAATAAAATAACATTAAACTAATTCACTTCATAAGTATTTTAAGAACAAAACAATCAATCAATTGAATATTACTGGTTTAATATTGTTATTTCAATGGGTAAACCGGTAGAGACAAATGCTTGACGACAAAAAATATGTGACGAATAAATGTACCTGAAAATTTCTGTATTGACGCCAGAATTATATGAGGCCTCTAGCTTATAGTATTGATTCTGCAGCATTAGTGATATATTATAGGACAAATAAATAATAAAATCAAAGACCTGGTTAGATTGTTACCTGGTCGTGGAATCTGTTCAGGAGCAAGCATCAAGTTGAAGCCAGGTGGCTCGAGGGAAGATTTGTGGAACAGATTGCCCATATATGTAGATATATACATAACTAAAACAGTCATAAAAACACCAACTAGGCTGGCAAGGAGAAGATGTGCAAAGGACGTCATATTTCGTGTATTGAATTTGAGTAAAGTTTGTAATTTGGAGCGATTACAGAGCTGAAGGAAAAATTGTGACAGATCGTCCGCCATGTTGTTTTGGTTTGTGTACTGTTTTACGTGCAGCATTCCGATTGGTCTAGAGCCGAATTGTTACGAAGGAAAATTTGTTGCCGAGCAACTTCCGAAATTTTCTTCGGTGGGCTATCGGAAATGGGATAAAAACATGATTTGTTCGAAATTCTTCATATTCCCACTGCTTTCTTACGACCCATAATGCTTTTTGATTTGGCTAATTTAATTCAGCTTTGAGGGGCACTTTGCACAGATACAATAGAGAGAAGTTATAGAAAGAGAAAGGAAAATGAAAAGAAAGAGAATAAGAGAAAAAGTCTCAATGCCTCATATTATGTCTTGAAATTGAGACTAGGTACAAGAGCGGATCCAGCCAAAATTTTAGGGGGGTCTAATGGAGTTTCTTTTGCCAACACAATGGAAATCAATAAAAAAAGCATCTTATTCTTCAGTTGTTTTTTTCCTGCTGAATGGGGACTTCAGCCCCCTGGATCCGCCCTTGAGGTACGCTGATCAAACTACGTACAGCTTAGAACAAACCATAAACTTGAAATACTTCTTTATTTAATATCTTTATTTTGTCTGTTATGAAATAAATATTTAACAATTGTAAAGCTTTAGTCTAGTATAAAAAAATGTTGATAATATGATTCTAATATTAGATACTATGTGGCTTTTTATAAATTTTACTCATTTTATTGTACGATTCAAACAGGCTGGGTTCTTGCAGGAGTGGGGTGGTGTGTGGTGGTCCCTGATTCTTAACCGTTGGCAATTTTTATTGTTTTAGTAATATATATTTCTTGATAATATTAAAATTACAAATTATCTAATAGCTAGTAATATTCTTATAGAAACCCTTTAATCAAATTCATGCCCAGAAAAAATGAGCGGTCCCCAATGTGTAGTTCCAAAAATTATCCATACCCCCTCATGGAGGAATTTTTTTAACACACCCCCCTACCCCCCGGAAATTCCAATTTTCTTCCATACAAACTCTGTAATTTCTGTTCTTTCTCTGACCCCCCTACTCTTCAGAAATTCCAAATTCCTCTGTGGGGTGGGYATGGATGATTTCTGGAACTACACAATACCTGGAAAAATTGTTCTACAGCTTGAGATACGAAATATGTACATTAATTTGTTGGTTGCTACTTTGTAGATAAATCAGATTCAGTTAAGTTTACAACAAAAGTTACATCATGCATGACCAGTAATTCTAGGAAGTCAAATGTAGCTTTCAAGACTTTCAAGAAGCCAAAAGTCCAATCAAATCATGAGACATACTGGTCATGCTTGACGTTAATTGGCTGTAATATGTGTATTTTGAATGTGTCTTGTTGCATGGTAAACCAAACATTCTGTAGATGTTTGAAAAAGATGACTTGGTTGAGCTAAAACGATGCCTTGATTTTACTTCATTGCTAGGTGCCTGAAACACTGACATCATGGGATCTATACAAGGAAAGAACAACAGTCTAAATAATACTTCAATATAAATAAATATAATCCGATTGTTTCAATAGATTTCTAAAATCTCAATGGACTCTCAATACTCCTTTTTTCAGTCCTATTCAGTGACAACAATATAATAAAAGTTCCAAGTCAAGGTCGGAGTTGCCAAGCATGGTAAACTCCTAATAATATGAATGAAATAGTAAYGTAGTAAACTTCCGCCCAGTTAGCTCGGTTGGTAAGGGTGGTGGCCTGTTGGTCTAAAAGAGTAGGCCCCGTCCTTCTTCAATATATAACCCTGTATCAGGCAGACATAAAAGACCCACTGAAGATGCTGGTGACAACCATGCTAACACTCTACAGGACTCACACTGTAATTGGCAAAAGCTGTTGTGGTGTCCCTGTCTGGGAAAAAAACATATCTCATAAATCAATAGTTTTGCTATGGGCGGTAACTCCAACCTCGACTTGGAACTTTTATTATTTTGTTGTCACTGAACAGAACTGTAAAAAGGTTGAGTATTTCTCTGTTGCTCAGGTTTAGTCTTGATTTTGTGTAGAATATTCAAGTGTTGAAGAGAGCATCTTTGGGATTTCAAAGTGTTTTTATCGTTGAAAATGTGCATTCTTTACTTTTTATCCATATAATCCTGTTAAATATGACTCCAATCCCACCATATTTCGTTTTGCTTCATTTGATTTCATTATTTTTTGCTTCAGTCTGGGGGTTAATTTATGCAGTAGCATCAGAGTGAGGGCAGCAGTGACCTTGCGATGATAGAGACATGAATAACTGACTTGTGCAAGATGTTAAAAAAGGTATTTTTCATTGCAAGGTCACCACCATCCTTGCTTCAATGCTCAGGCATGATTACCTTCAAGATGGCACAGGGAAGCGTGAAGGGGACTATTAGCACTGATTTGTACTAAATAGCACCAAAGAAAAAAATAACTGAGTGCATACCACATATCAATAATTTAAGAAAAATGAAATTGTGTAGTTCCAGAAATCATCCATGCCCACCCCACAGACGAATTTGGGGTTCCGAAGAGTAGGGGGTCAGAGAAAGAACAAAAATTACAGAGTTTGTATGGAAGAAAATTGGAATTTAYGGGGTAGGGGGGGTGTCTTAAAAAAATTCCTCCGTGAGGGGGGTATGGATAATTTTTGGAACTACACATTGCACAAAATTGCACRAATTAGTAAGTTCAGTACAATTCAGTTTTGGCCATGGGACTATGAAACTGTGCACTTATTTTGTTAGTTAACGTTTTCACAGATGTAATGGTATGTACTTTAACGATAGACATATTGCACTATTTAGTACTATTTAGAGCAAAATAAATTTAGTACTGTTTCACAGATTATCGGAAGGTCTCTAACATAAGAGCTAAGATTTAGAGATAATTTCATGTTATAAATCACTTTAGAAGTATATAAAAAAGTTTAAGACCTGGTAGTGAAAAAAGATTTTATTGTTTTTAGTGAATAAATTGTACATTATTTTAGTATTAATTTTAAGTCTTCCTGTCAAAGTCTGTTATGATCCCTAATTAATGAAATGTTTTATTCCTTAGGAATTAGCAGATGTTTTTAACAATACTTAAATAATTAAATTGTTAACTCTGAGATAATATCTCACTACCCTGGATGCCAGTGGATTTATGGTTCTTAGGCTGTGTTCATAATGTGTGGCAGAGGGGGGGCAGGTGAAAATTTGAAATTTCCAGAATAATTCTTAACACCCCCCTTAAAGTCATGCAAATACGATCCCCCCAAGGCTCGTATCTTCTTCCAAAAATTGTGCATCCCCCCATTTTTCTGATAAAAATTTGTCCATCCCCCCTTTTTCCTACCAAAATTTTCCCAATCCCCCCTCAATTTCACCTGCCCCCCCCCTGTCATACATTATAAATGCAGCCTTAGGAAATTTGCAAGAGAAAATTGCCCCCCTCCCACTAGCTGTCTTGGTTTTGCTCCCACTAAACTCTACCCTGTACTCAAGAGCACACAAAGCCTGGAAATCAGAACCTATGACTATCCCCACCCCCCTACTGATGACAAACCCTCTGGGCACAGGGTAGTGGCTAGCTAGCTCAGAGTCTGTCAGACATCGAATGGTGATACCCTACATCCCATTACATTAAGAATAGAGGTTAAATACACCTTCAACAATTAAATAGTAAGGACCAGTCCCTTGTGTTAAATACAGTATGTATGGATGTTTCTTGGAAAGACAACTTCATGTCTAAATATTTTGGCTTAAAAGTAATCAGTAAATGATTATTAGACTAATAATAAAATTAGTACTCATATTAGCTTAACATTATATGCTCTTTTCACCCAACCTAAAGTTACAACAACAGCAGCAGCAGTACAGCAATAAAAAGAGTAGAAACAATAATATTAACACCATTAATATTTTAATTAAGAATTGGTAACAATTCAGTGGCAGATTCAGGAATTTTAGAAGGGGGGGAGACTATTAAAAAGGTGTTACTACCAGGAGTGGGAGGAAAAGTGGGAGGCTTACTAAGGATAATACTGAGAAATCTGAGCAAAAGGGTTTGGCTAGGCACATCCCCCCCCCCCCCCCGGATCTGCCCCTGCTATTACAGGCTGGCTATGGAGCATACTGTATTATACCTAAGCAAGAGAAATCATAGAACTGGACATTTTTTTTTTTACAGCAATTCTCAATTATCATGTGAACTTGGTAGCTGCAAGTAACCCATTGGAAATCGTTTTTTTTTTTTTTTACCGTCACTAGTCTAAATCATAAAAGGTACCAAATGTAAGATTATGGATAAAATGTGTAGATTTAGTAAAAACATGCCATTTTGGCTATAACTAGTGATAGCCTTCATCAGAATGATTTTTAAACCAAATCTACATGTTTTATCAGTTATCTTACAATTAAAATGTTGTCAAACGGGAGAGCCTGAAAGATACTATAAGAGGTACCGACTTTTTTTTTGATTAACAGAAGCCAAAAACATAATAAATTTCAGCGTACAGCATTCATTTACTGAGTTCACATAACATTAAAATAATTAAAGCCCATATCTAATCCAGGCTCTTACTATACTGTATCTCATTTGTATGAAGTTCTGTCAAATACTTGATTAATCAAAGCAAAAACACCAGAACAGTCTGACGTCTGGATTTGCAATAGAAACGAGAATTCTATATAAACTAATGAAACGTTAAAAAATTTAGTTTTTAAAGAGAACAGTGTGTATTATATGAAATAACCCTTAATTAAACTGATTGCAGTTCTTTATGAATTAAAATCAATTTTATAAGTGAATATTAGAGAACATAAAAGCGAATTGTGAATGGGTTTAAAAACCATGGCACACACAAATCATAACCTAGACTTTCTCAAAAACAATTTTTTCTTTTTCAGTTGGTATCTTTAATATCACTTTTGGTATCTTTTGTATTACTTGTGACTTTGTTGTTTGTTTTTTCCCAGCTTCGCAAAAAATTCTTATCTTTTCTGCTAAGCCGATTCTCAAAGAAGAAGAAAAGTAGTCGACTTGTGGCAAGTCTTAACCTATTAACCCATCACATGAGAATGTTATTCCTGCAAATTTATTGTAATCTAGCTCTGCCATGGTCCCAAATCCATACACAATCTGCTATAGACTAAGTCTGGTTCATAACATAATCCTTTCGTGAAGATTAAAGGCCTATTCATACAGGCAACTTAYAATGCAGCTTTTTGGCAATATCTGCAGCATTACAAGAATTAATTTTCATGAATCAGAACTATGTTATTACTCAAGTTTTGAGTGCATGCCATATATCTGTGAAATACATGTAGCACAAAAACTAAATAGAACTAAACACATCTAATTCTATTGTTAAGAAGAGATAACTAGCTGAAAACTAGTATGAGCTGCGTCGGTGTTTCTAATGAAACAGCAATGATAGAAGGGTAAATTTTACACAGTGAAAAGATGAAAAAACTTACTGGCATTTCGGAAGCTAGTCCTTCTATTGTTTTCAATTGTTTCATTGGTGCTATTTTGTACTCTAATAAGTTAGTACTTACTATTTCACAGATAAATGGTTTGCACTCTATTAGAAGCAAGTGACTCAAGAGCATTAATCTTTAGTTCTAAATGAATTTCTCCAACAACTAAAGGTATGTATAATTATGACTGTACAATAATGTTTTAATCTGGTTTTCAATATGCAGACTTATATGACTACCCACTTTTTGAATATTTTCCAAGATCTGTCTCCAATCAAATACTTAAGAGCTATTTAGTTACAGCACTGGTGAATGACAGCACAAAAAAACAGCAAACAAATATTCCAGTTTAGAATTCTCTTTTTTCAAGCCTTAGCCAATTGTTAGTGCATTAAAATGTTCAGACATTCAACTAAAACCCCTGGAATTTTGATCAAGTTGTATTGTTCTGTAATACATACTTCCTGAATATAAAAAACATGGGACTTCATAAAAGAAAAATAGACATAATTTGCACACCATCTGATTAAGGCTGAGCAAAAGCAAACTTGAAATTGTAGTATTCAAGTGGGTGTATTCATAAAAGTCTGAGTGATATTGAAAACCACAGTGAATGGACAATATGGTTAAATCTATGATTCAAATTGAATTTTTCCCCTAATAAATATTGAAATAGTTATTAATAATAAATATAAATCCTAAGTTTAGAATAAGATTGAATACGAAATTAAAGTAATTCATGCTGTTATCCATGTAAGGTTCTTATAGAATTATGCGAAATTAAATAATTAATTGCACTTATTAGTCAYACAACAGATATGCCACTGTACGAAAAAGTTCTATCGGCAGAGAATAATTAATATATTTATTCATTATCCATATCATAAATAATAAATACATCACACCATGAACTTTAGTAATTACCTTGAGAGGATAGCCAAGTTCAATCAATCAGACACAAGAGCTGATAAAGATAATTAGATAATTATTTGCTCAAATGAATTTGTTTTTGAGAATCCCATTAGCAATAGATATCTTCACCAGCTGAATGACAAGTTTTCAATAAAAGAAGTAATATAGATTTTTGAGCATGGAGGTCAACATTATTTTGCTCCTCATCCTAGGCTCAAAGAGATTAATGAGATTCATTGAAATTGAATGATTGATATCAAATAATAGGAATGGCACATGCCAATACCATATTTACTTTCTTATAAGATTTAACTTAGCCGAGAAGCTTAATCTTCTTTGGCAGATTTGAGTGACAACACTGTCATGTGACTAATTAGTGCCGGTTATTGACTACCTATAGGTCCCAGCATTAAAAGTATAAATGCATTATAAGTTAAGCAAGAGCAGGAAATAGAAGCTCAGGAAGGAGAAGTTTACACACATCCATTGTTATAGCTTAGTTACTCATATCCTGAAGAGGCAAACCATCGGCAGTGGTGTATCCCCTGTTAACAACAAACACGTTACAAGTTATTTTTGTCTTGTTTTAAAGAGCTTACCTTCAGGGGGTAGGTCGGGAGGTGGTTAGACCAACACGCCTAAGTTCTTCACTATCACAATCCTCTAATACTCTATCAAACCTGTGAGTAACAGTTGGATAGCTGAAAGGACAGACAGCATGTCACTCATAATTTATTGCCCCTATTAATGATGTGCAAAAAAATTGGGAACACAAATATCACATTGATTTAAAATGTACATGTACAAGCGTACAAAAATGTGAAATGGAAAACTTTTAAAAAGAATTTTATAAACATAAATGAATCTGACAATCTTCTAAACGTGTTTGCAGTGCATGAATATCTTAATACCACCTGGCAAGTGTTTTGATTGGATGAGAAGTATATATTATACTTCAGTTATAATTGTCTTGTGATTGGTGTAATAGTTGTCAATCAATTCTGTAGAATACAATCTTCTAAAAGTGTTTGCAGTGCATGAACACTTTAATACCACCTGGCAAGTGTTTGGAATGGATGACTAATATATATGATACTTAAATTACAATTGTCTTCTGATTGGTGTAATAGTTGTCAATCAATTCTGTAGGAATGCAAGAGTGCAATAAAATCTAAATAATTAACATTAATGCTATGAATTAAAGTACTGTAACAACGTTTCTCATCCTTATATAAAATCTACTCACAATTTATCAGGGTTTTCATCTAGACTTGTCACTAGGCGATCACAAGGTGTGACAGTTTCATTTTAATGAAACTAATAAAGATGTGCCTCTTGAAACAATACTTATTATTTAATAATTTTYATYATTATATGACCATGAATCTTAGAGCCTGGACACTAGCAAATCGAGCAATCTGATTGGATAGATTGCATCGCGGACTGGTCTAGATTCTCCGGTATTAACCGGTACGATTGCATATTAATCTTACGGCAAAAACATTTTGTCCTTTTCAATGAAAAGTGGTCATATAATAAAACTCTTATCAACCGAGCTTGGTCGGTCTGTACGGGATAATCTTGACCTCGGTTGGGTACAGACCTTGCTGCGCTCGGTCTGTACATTCCGACCTCAGTCAAGATTATCCCGTACAGACCTCCCGCTTGGTTAATGAGATCTAAATAATTCCCTGTCTATTTTATAGAACAAACAGAACATATTTTTGCTTGATGTTTGATTACAAATAAACTACGAAAAGAGAATTATCAAATATCTAATACACTTCAGTGGCTAAGAAAAATCTAGAATTCTTTTTTACCTATTATCTTACATTGTTACAAACAAAAGTATGACCATATTTAATGTATTTGCATACTTCTATGCACTGGCTTTTTGCTGCCAAACAACAAGGTTTTACATACCTTATCTGTTAAAACCAGCTACCTTTCAATTGAAATGTGTCAGTTTAATGTACAGAAGTCTGTGCTTAAAAGTATGCATATACATTTTCACTGGTCATACTGTTGCATGTCGCACTGTACAACTAAATAAAAACCCTGAATAGCAATTTAGCCTTGGCCAAGTCTATGCCTGTTGACTGTCAGATATATAATTAGATCTTGGCTTCATTGCCTGCTTCTGATTGGATCTGTCACTCTTTTCATTGCACATTATGATTGGTCATAATTGATAGAGGGATCCTGGATGAAGCATCCACAAAGTATGCATGTAGTACAAACTTACTTCAGTAAACTAAAAGGTTTTATTCCATGTTGCATACCAAGCCCGAAACACATTTTAAATCTTATGATAATAATGCCAACACAGAAGAAAATAATGCGCCAAAGTTAGGAAAATTTCTGAGAGTCCATACTTTTGTGACCTTTGCTGACTGCATTGACATCACCCATTGCAACACATGCCTCTCACTTGTCGTATAAAATAATCATAACCTTAGAGATCTACTGTGGCGTATGTTTTATATTGTCATACCCTTGCTGTAAACATTTTGAATTTTCTATCAATAGCTTTACTAACTAAGTTAACAAGCACTACTTCAGTTTTCGTATGAATGTGAAACGCTTGCAGCACAAATGCAGTCATGACATGGCAAGGCATATGCCAGAGCAATCACATTGCGTGAGAAAAGCAGCCAATCAAAATTCTAAGAAAAATTACAGTCATGGGAAGGCATGCATATTGCACCAAGCTTTCACAGTCGCACGATAACTGTTCTATTGCTGTTTAATTCCTTATTGTGCTGTTGCTGCTGTTATTAGCCCCTCATCTATGAGCTTAGATTTTAATTTAGTACAAGCTTTTGTGATTTCAGGCTAATTTGTGCAATAATAGGCATTTATTTTAACTAACCATCATAGGCGTACTTCAAAATCCAAAGTGGTTTATATATAAATTATGTGTCATTTAAATTTATCAACCTGAATGAAAATTAATTTGCCTCATTAAAGGTTGCCCATTCATTACCAAGTGTTGAACTCATAATGCATATCATATTAAGGTTAGGTTACATTCAATCCATATTTTAATAATAACATGACCCACACAATTAATGAAAAGAGGCAAAAACCCAGACGCCTTGGGCTGTACATTCATTGTATTGTATTGTGTAAGGGACTGTTCATATTTATCATTATTTGGGTTGAGGGGGTGGGGGTGGGGGTAGGTGTTACTTGTACATGTATGGGTGAAAAGATGTGGGGCTTAGAGAAATATGGGTTTACTTTGTAAAAGGGGATGGAGTAAAAAAGTATTTGTTTAAATTTTCTCCCATACATTTATATGCCTCCCCCCCCCCCCCCCCCCCGTGCATATACACCTGTAATCAATAGCCCCTAATTATGGAATTTGGTGTACTAATAATATATAAAGATATTAACTAAGGACAAACACATTAGTCACTCACCGTTTGCCAAACTTTATGTGGATAATCAAAAAGCAGATTCCCAAGACAATGCACAGTACCCCAACGGTAATGTAAGCGACACCCAGGAAGGGGTTCTTGCCACCAATCCAGGAGGTGGTACTGATGATGACCCGCTTCTCACCATCAAAGCGAGTCACTGGGTAATCTGGCATCATGTTAAGGGGAATGTTCATCATGTTATATAATAATGCAATAATGTGATAATATCGCTGGTCATTGACCTGTGACCAGCAGTTATTTGCAGTGCTGTATCACCACCATCATCTACAAACGCACATTGCCATAATTATCATCACCATTATCATAACCATCACCAACATTATCACCAAAAACATCACTACCGAAATTAAAATCGCTATCACCAATATGATGATGATGATCATCATCATCAGCATCACCATCATCAACACCACCATTATCATCAACTCCAAGCTATAGTTCAATTCTAATAAAACAAAAGGATACTGTAATTAATCTTTACCACATAGGTTCCCTTGGGTAGTCCATCTTTAAAGTCTTTCTCCAGAACAACTTTACGGTAGAGCTTACGGAATGTAGAGAATGCTGCAGTCCTCATCCAGATGATGAAATCTTGATTAAGGAATCCATTGTCATTTTTGTCACTAGGATCAAGCTCATAGACTGGCTTTTGCCAGTCACGTGGCTTGGAATACTTGCTGAAAGCATCCTTTAGATCTCCAGAAGGATTCTTGAATTTGACAGTTCTGTCGGACTCCCAAGCAATGTTCTTGTCTGTCAGAGGGACCGGAACTTTAGTGCCTGGTGACTTCATGTAAGATAGCTCGAAAGTATCTGTTTCAAAGAGCAATGAAAATTCCAAGCATAACTCATTACTTTGTATTACTGATGTAAAACCCAATTAACGAATAGCACTAGTTGCAGTAATGTAAACTATTGTCATTTCTATGCCAACCAGAGATCAATTTCCTGATGAAACAAAGCAACTTGGCAAGGACTAGATATGTTAATAACTGTTGATTATAGTTGGGAAATTAAAATCACAATGCTAAGTGTTTGAAAACACTAACTAGTGCTATACTGTACTTACTCACACTTTCAATTTTTTTATTTAAGAATCAAGGATAGCTAAACAGTAATGCACTACTAGATCAACTTATATTATATACAAGTAGATTTTGTTGGGTTTCTCCCTTGATTCAGAAGTTTTTCTTCGGGTTGATATCTCTGATTTTCTTCCTTTCTCAAACACTAAATTACAAAGTTGCAATCCAATCTGTGTGTTGTCTGTGCACTGGCTTACTGCCGTTTTCATAGATGTGCAAACTCGTCATCCTGGGGAAACCAGGGGTAAAGTTCTGTCACTTGTTTCTCGCTCCCAGAAAAAAAATACCCCTTGGCTTGAAGTCTGTTAGAGCTTGTTCTGGAAGTACGAATTATGGTAATCTCTTTCCTGATTGGTCAAGTATGCATCAATTAATGTACATGTAAACAAACATGTGATGGCTYATTTTGAATTCAGACTTCCGGAATAAGTTCTAATAGACTTCGTGCCCAAGGGTGTTTTTTCCTGGGAGTAAGAAACAAGTGACAAAACTTTACCCCTGGGTTCCCCAGGATAGCAAACTCACTAGCTGCTAGCTGCATGATTTATATTCAATTGTTGATGGAAATAGCAGTAAATAAACCCTGGGGTTATTGTATTGTAAGGTTTAATGAAATTACTAAGGTTGTAATAATTTCTGTTGTTACAGTACAGCCTAGATGTATGTCATGGTAATGCACGTGTAACACCCATGTACTCTGTTAACGGAGTACACTCGTACTAGTGTAGTTCGTCCATTCGCATGTAGTACACTCTAATAACTTGGCAAAATTACATGCAGCCCAATAGCTCATTAACTTCAGTCTGATTCCCGAGGGATTCGTAATGTAATTCGTAAAATAATTTGTTGATTGCTGAATAGGTGATAACACAGATGTTTTTCTTTTCCTATGTAAAATATATATACTCTTACAATGGAAATCCATGGTAGAAATTAAAGTATGGCATCTATATAGTTAGAGTACCCCCMTCATATACAATGTATAATATTGCAAATCTGTAAAGAGAGTATTGCATTTCAATGTCTAGGATACTTACCATTAAAAAGGCTGTTTGCAATAGCACCACATGGAGCTGTTGATGTACCACTGCTGTTCTTATCAAATGGAGCACAATCTTTGTTTACTGATTGTTGTAGTTGACCATTCAATTGTAAGTCATCTCTTGATCTTACGTAACGACGATGATTCTAATTGTTTGAAAGTTAAGAATATTAATAAACATCGCAGTGCATGACTCTGAATTACTCAAGCTAGGGTAATAGTCCTCCTCGGCCTGGGCATTTTTCCATTTCAAACCTCATGTCTTTCTCTTCAGAATAAGATTTTTGGTTTGAGTTGTATCCAATGGCATATTCTTCTCATATGCAACGGAGCACAACCGCTTAACAAAGAAATGACATTCACTGAAACATGGTCTGAAATGGGAAAACATCATGCCTGAGCCGAGGAGGTCTAATGTATTTCCAATATAATTTGACAAAAATTATATAAGTTGACAAAAAATTYATTGACAAATGTCTGCTGAAATTACTTACAGCCATTCTCATACAATTACACTGACAATGAGTGCTGACAAAAGAATTATTAGACTTTTAAAATATATTTTTTTATGAGGGCAGCACTTACTATATAGCCAATCATTAACAAACCCATAGCATTCACACCATGCATAATCAAATTGGAATTTAAAAGTGTATTTTTGTCGAGGGAGAAACCTGGAATAACTAGAGAAAAAACTCTCAAACTTCAAAACTAGGAGAAGAATTTTTTTCTTTGACAATGAAGCACTATTATAATGTACAAATTTGAGATTTAAATTTAAATTTAATTTAAGATTATAATTATTCTAATGTCATATACAATCAACAGATATTAGTTTCATACCTGATAGAAGTTTGAAAGGCCATAATAAATAAAAACGTTCCCTGAATAATCAGATGAGAGCTTGAAGCTCATTTCACAAGTACAGGTTTTGCCAGAATTATTGACCTCGTGAAAAAATTCATCACATCCTTTGTTTGTTTGGCTGCTGTTGCAATGAGTATATTCAATACTCCTCTCCTGGACCTAAAAAAAATACAAGCAAGATACTAAGATGGGTACATTTAACAAACAGGCCCTTTCTTTTAGCCACCCTTGATTTATTTTTGTTGCATCTGAGTAGATAACGATTTGGCGATGCATGACCAAGAAGAGTTGCTCTATTACAACTCAAAGCACAAAACTATGACCACATGTAATGTATTCCCTCTGTCACTTCTATGCACAGGCTTCACGCTAGTGAACACTCAGTGTTTTAATTTACAAATAATAACAAATAAACACACACTCCTACATATGTCAATGACATCACACTTATTAGGATATTGGAAGTATAAACCCTGATATCTCTAAGATATATCACTCTGTATCAAATATGAAAATAATCTACTATTCATTTCATGTAGAATCAATACTGAAAATACAGAGTTAGGCATTATRAGCACTTTGACCACCAGGGTTGGTAGGGGTGGGGTGACGCTACCTTCTGGAAAATCATATTATTCCAAGCTCCCACAAGGAATTTTGACTTGGCCGCCATCTCCAAAAAGTTGGAAAATGCAATAGACATAAGTAATAAGGGTGGAAATTTGATTTTATCAGCTATCCAGTGGTGGGAAATTTCAAAGATTTCTAATTAAGAATGTCAAAATGCCCCCCTGGGCTTAACATTGATGGGCATAAGGAAGTAAATATGTGGTTTAGTGAAGGACTAAATTCAATGACATTGGAAGGGGGTCATAAAAGCACTGAATTTTTAAACACCCTTTCTAAGATGCGTTTTTCAATTTCTATACTTCCTTTCACGCGAAAAATTATAAAAAGGGAAAGAAATATTTTAGTATTGGTGGAATTCCTGTGGATTTGGCATGTTTATCAAAATTTAAATTGAGAATTGTTAAGAACAATTATTTAACGAATTAAACTGAGGGAAAATCTAATTACGATTCTACCTGATTATCTGAAAACGAAACAATAAGCATATCTGATCTAGTTTCGATTAAATAAATCAGGTTTGGGGTTAATTTTGTCCACAGTTATGTGTCATTAACCCRAAATTTTGCAAGCTTTTTGCGAGCTTTTGAGTCTTTTTCTATTGGTTAAGTATATAAAATAGGCCTTAGCCATATTCAATGGATTTCTATGCTCAAAGTAAACAATGCTAAACACTATGTCGACAAAATACCCAACGATCAACATAGTAGACTGAGATAAACTTACTTTGCAATGCATTCACTATAAATTATGACAACTAAAATGCTTAATTGCAGAGAACGGATTTAAAATGCGACTTACACCATCAGAGGCGACAAGAAGTACAATACCAATCGGTACAAAAACAAATCCAACGACGAAGAAAACTGGAAGAGCTGTCGAAGCAGTTAAAATCGGTTGCCACGCCTTTAGTCGCTGCTGTTTGAACGCTGTGTCTAAAAAAGAGAAAAAAATAGCGACTGTGTTACTTAAAGTAGCCTTTGAGGTGTTTTTCTACTAGTTTTTTAGGGGTTTAGAGGGCTACCTGAGGGCTTTCGCGAAGCTGTTCTCTCTGAAGACCGCTCCGCCATCTTGGATGTTGCTGTCACCTGCCTTCAACAAGRAAGGGACTAGAACCTACTCGATCAGGGACGGACCTATGACATAAACAGGAAAGACGTCCCTTGGTCTATTCCATATCATTTATTAATTTCTGATATAAATTTTATAAATTTTCGATTTTTTTAAAAATCAATCTCTTTACGACACAATAGCTCACAATATTTAATAACATATTGAAAGRTTTTTTAGAATTATGTAAAAAAAATTTTTTTTAATATGTAAAATGGAACGCCATCTTTTGTTATGAGACAGCACGAAGTCCCGTTATGCTCAGGGGACTTTCATAAATCAAAATGGCGGACGAATCATAGCAAATTTTAGTTAAAATCCTTTTAATTATTTTGTTATCTATTTAAAAGTTAAGCATTATGACTTTAGAAGCCGCAATAAGCGTTTTAAAACGTGCAGTTCAGCTCGACGAGGACAAAAGTTTTTCCGAAGCACTAGTATGCTATCAAGAAGGGATGAGTCTTTTGATGTCGGAACTGAAGGAGACCAAGGATGACGTGATAAAGAAACGGTACAGAGACCAGATGAATGCTTATCTGGACCGTGCAACGAAGCTGAAGGAGTTTGTTCAAGAGAAGAAAACGACTGGAGAATACCATGAACAAATAAAGATTAAAAATGGACAAGTTGGTTATGGTTATGCAAAAATATTTGGTCCATATCTGGATAAAAGTGTTACTGAAGTCGTTGTTGAAGATGCTTATATCAGGAGTACTCATCAGATTTATAATTTATTGAGATTATGTGAACTTTTAGTTTTGAAAGGGAGTGTACAGGTTATTAAGCTATTCACAGGTAAAGCACACAAGACCTAACCCTCACAGTTTATAATAATTAACCATTGATCCTAGGTGATAACACCATAATATGTCACTGCGCCCTTGTCACTACCATCATATGTTACTACCCCTATATGGAATACTACCCTTATTCATTGCTAGCTATGCCTATTTGGTGCTTCCTCTATTCTTGGGGTGCAACCATGTGACTCAAAATCCCTTATACAATAACAATGAAACAGCTGCCATGTTGTTCTATAACAAGAGAAGCTAATAAGGAATGGTTTGGTATCATCATTCAAGATGGCGGCTATTATGTAACATGAACCCCAAGAATAAGGATTCAAGCTGCTTTATGTCTGTAGTGTGACACTGCCCATATATGTTCTTAACTCTATTTGTCACTAGCTGCCTCTATTTGATGCTATCTCTATAGGTCACTGCTGCAATATGTCACACTGCCCCTGTATGTTATTACCTCTATTTGCCACTAGCTGCCTCTATTTGATGCTATCTTTATAGGTCACTGCCTTTATATGTCACACTGCCCCTATATGTTATTACCTCTATTTGTCACTACTTGCCTCTATTTGATGCTATCTGTATAGGTCACTGCTGCAATGTCACCCTGCCTTATTTGTTACACTGTCCCAGTTAGTCATGCCAAATATATCCCACTACCCCTCTATATGTCCCACTGCACCTAAATACCCTACTTCCCCTAAATCCCCCACTCTCCCTATATGTCCCAATGTCCCTATATGTCCCAATGTCTCTATATGTCCCACTGCCACTATATACCTCACTGCTCATATAAGTCCCACTGCCCCATTTTGTCAATATCCTGATATATGACACTACCCCATATTTCTTAATCACAGGGACTGTCCCTTTATGTCTGCTCTCGCATATGTAAGCAACACTGCCCCTATCACGACATACACTGCTGCTATACGAAACACTCCAAATATTACAAATGATGCATTCATTCCATTTAGGACAAGACGACAATGCTGAAAAACGCAGACTACAAAACGATGGACTTCAAGAACTTGTAAAAAGTTTAAAGAAGTACAGCATCAACCTGCAAGTGACTTATACCAATACATTGCATGATAGAGAAATAAGATTTGATAATGGTTGGGTTATCAAGATTGGACGTGGATTGGACTATTTTAAACCTCCCAGTGGGAAATTCTGTATTGGTTATTGTGATTATAATCTGAGRGAATGCCATCAGACAGATATAGATATTTACTTTAAAAGAAAATAAGATAAATCAACAATCATATAATAAGGGTCTTAGTTTCATTACCTTTCTTTATTTGATACTTGATTTATCTTGGCTTTTACAACTGTTAGTTTGCAAAGYGATTTAGATCATTTATATTTTTTAGGATAAAGGGAGCTTAGTTTAAAAATTGAATTTTCTTGCCCCTTGTAATTTGTAATTTCTCACTTTAGAAACTTTGCATAGACATTTACGCACACACGTCCGTAATTATCGCTTTCACCCCAGTTTGTCAAATCTTCTCCGTACCAGATCCTCATCTGCTTATTCTTCGGAAAGTAGAAAGGATTGGCAAACTCAGTGAAGATGATTTCTTTGCTAGAGGCTGTGCTTGCAAAAGGTACCCAGTACCACATGCCTCCTTGGTTCCTGTAAAATTTAAAAAGGATAAGATATCAATTGCTGAAAAAATGACACTTCGAATTTCACCTGGCATAATAATCTTTGAACAATGCTAAGTTTAAATCAAATAGTTCCTTGTTGGTTGTTGTTACATTCATAATAATGTTAAGTTTATTTTGTACTAAATGGTAGACATTAGTGCAATGTCTATTATTTTATTTTATTTTATTCTATTTCATTTCATTCTATTCTATTCTATTCTATTCTATTTTATTTTATTTCATTTTATTAATTTTGCAAAGAATAAATGTAGCTTAAAATGTAGCTTACACTGCAACAGAAATGAGAGGCAGGGTTACCGTAACGGCTAGCTTAGCCAATGATTATTTCTGTGGGCCCAATTAATACTAAATGCTGCTATGTTAACTTTATTTTGATCAGCCCAGATGTTGTTTCAGGTTTCAATCTCTGAGTTAGCCATGCCCTGACTTTGTTAAGCCCAGAGGTTGTTTCGGGTTGCGATCTGTGAGTTAGCCATGCCCTGACTTAGATCAGCCCAGAGGTTGTTTCAGGTTGCGATCTGTGAGKTAGCCATGCCCTGACTTAGATCAGCCCAGAGGTTGTTTCAGGTTGCGATCTGTGAGTTAGTCATGCCCTGACTTATATCAGCCCAGAGGTTGTTTCAGGTTGCGATCTGTGAGTNTGTTTCAGGTTGCGATCTGTGAGTTAGTCATGCCCTGACTTATATCAGCCCAGAGGTTGTTTCAGGTTGCGATCTGTGAGTTAGTCATGCCCTGAATTAAATMAGCCCAGAGGTTGTTTCATGACTCAACGTGTGGGTTAGACGCCCTGACTTAGACAACACTAGCCCAGAAGTTGTACGTTTCAGAGTATCGATAAATTCAAAGGGCGGTTTTTATTCTTAAATAATACTTATAATAAGTTGGTTCAGTAACCGGTATTTACCTCATCCTTCTGTATCTTTTCCTTGGAAAGAGAACGTGGTTATACTGGTCTGTTACCACGACATTGATGGGATGGTGCATTCCATGCAGCTGGCTGCAACCCCAATAACTATTGTGCTTGCTGCTAGGCACACAGCGAATGTGGCCAGACGTGTCTTAGTTTGATCGCCACAACCAAACCTGATCTGACATAGTTACGAAAAGAGCCAAAGCRGCTTCCCTTCCCCTCAAAACACACCAAGTGCCTGTTCATCTTAATCCAGCTACTGACCGAGGAACTTTGCACACCTAATAAATGCAACAGAATTGAATCATTGACTATGTTTTTTATTATACACCTCACTGAGCTCAATTTCAAAAGCTATTCAGTGGAGGCAAAGATCTTGGAATGACCTATTTGCCATGGATGGATCGCTTACGGATCCACCTGTCGCTTATCTCTTTTTATCCTTAGGCTATGCACTAATAAAAGTTTCGTGCAGAATAACTGTAAACCAAGCTAATCTAGCTGATGAAGGTCCAATAGTGGTAAAGGATCTTTTGGGGAATCAAATAATATAATATAGTAATAGCAATGATAACAGAAATGGTAATAAAGGAAGAAAAACAAATAATTAAAGTAAAGACGCAAAACTTTTACGTTAAGCCGCTATGTTGCGTTATGGAAAACGACACGCAAAACTCACGACGAGGTTCTAAAAATTTTCAAAATGTATCGACATTTTTTGTGAATCGGCATCTTATGTGCTGATGTGTAACTATAATATACATTGTATATACCTTACCTTCTTGAAGAAGGAAAGTAGTCACTAGCAAAACAGCAAAAAAACTCTTCAATTGAAACATGCTCATTACTGAGTACTGCCACTGTACAGAAAAGGTTGTGGTCGGGGCTGAGGTGGATCACTCTGGTGCCGATCAGAGGATTTGATGTTTGATTTATAGTGACTCTAGAGAGATGCCACTAAGGTAATCAAATTTAATCAGTCCTGTTTGAAGGTGAACATCAAACATTGATATTTTAATTTAACCTTGGTACTGTTTTCAAACTTCTTTTGCGGTTTGTTCATGTTGATTGACATTTTTTTACCCGTTTTTTCACGTTTGTGAGTCATATAGTTGTTTACGAGACACGTCTCAGTGATCAACCTTGTCTCAGCTCTACAGGACCCTATACAGTACCGATGGATTATTCGGACATTAGAATACAAGTAAAAAACAAAAAATAAAGTTCATTCATTCATTCAAACCTATTTATAAGTCAAAAAATGGATGCAACAATATCGAAATTAGGTTGAACAATTTAAAATAATTTAGTTTTGCGTGGCTTCTTTTATAATTTGGTTTTCAAAACAAACTGCTACTTTTCGCTACTAGTTGTCGATCATTTAAGGGACCGGTCATTCATTAGAGGGGGTGGGGTGGGGGGGGTGGGCTGGTAAATGAGGGGCTGCATGAAATTATGCAAACATTTTGGGGGGTCATGCGTTTTTAGTCAACTATTTCAGGTTTGATATAGTGTATAAAGCTATTTAGTTTACATTTTCATAGCAAATTTAAAGCATAGAATCTCGGAAGTGAATCCGAGAATACTATGGAAAACACAGGTATTCGGACCCAAGCAAGGGGAGAGGGGAAAGGGTTTTCGGTGGGTAAAATGTTAAGGAGTGCGTAAGAGTGTTTATAGAGCATGTGGGTATGGATGGGAATGAGTTCTTATGAGTATTGTAGATTGGAAGAGATATAGGAAAATATGAAATTTGCAAGGATTACTTTGAAGGTAACGCAGGGAATAGGGGACTGGCCATGGCACGAGTGGAGGGGGGCGGTGTTGATATGATGTWTYGAAAAATAATTTGCTTGTAAGTTTGTGTGATGAGCTCATGTGTAGGTAGAACCAAAAGTGTATGGATGTTAGACTTAGCGCCCTATCTTGGACCTATCGTCAGGGGTGAAGATGCAAGATAGCGAAGGAAATCGAYGTGTTTCAAGACTCTTAGGCCCAGGTTGGGTCTGAGTTGGGGGTGGGTCATGYTATTTTATGTTCTCMTTCTTGGGGCCACGTTACTTTATGCATTTGAAAGAACAGGGCCAAAAGAAAATATGCCATGGGAAATGAAAATGTACCAGACCACTCCCCCCCCCCCCCCCCCCCCCCCCCAACCCTCTCTAATAAATGACCGGTCCCAAATAGGAATTTCATACTCCAATTTTCGAACGGAAAACTATAGACGGGTTTAAATATAGCAATAGAAAACGAGCATAATTTCTTGTAGAAACAAATAAAACTGATCATCATGCAATTCAGGCCTCACAGACATTGCCCAAAGTGACATATTTACATACTGTACTAGACAAATAGAGCCGGGTGGCCTATATGGAAGTCTTAATAGTGCCGAGTTTTTATTTTATTTCAATTTTAATTTATTTCAATTTTYCCCCGTATGTTGATATATGGTACTGGCTAAGGGATGAGAAAAATTCCAAGTATTTTTCTCCTTGCTCTTTCTCTTTCTCTCTCTAGCTTTGTCCGCTTTGAACGGAATTGCATGAAGCGGGGGAACCTAATGCAGCGTCCATTCAATTTTATATTGTTTACCTTATATATGGTTTACTTTACAGTTGCCGTCTTCAAAGGTTCTCTCTTATACTGTAAAGAAAGGCGGGTTGTGAAGATAGAAAAAGTATCTGCCCACCACAGGAAGCCTATAAAGGGCTCTACGATCGAGAAGATACCAAAATCAGATAGAGACATGTCGTGGAGTGGCCTACCTTGCACTTCACTGTGATACAGAAGTAGAAGAAATGGATAAAAAGTTGCAAAGCGGGAGGTCAGCTTATCCTAYGTGTTCCAGCTGGGAAGACTTTCARGGTCTGACCTTCCGTATAATTGCGTAGCGATAAAACAGAATAAACAAGTAAATTCCAGAGATAAGTTTTGGTAAGTTCCTTAAATTCTTTAGATAAGAGTATTAGAATAAAATAAACAGAATTCAAAACACTTTAATATCGTGCTTTACAGGTCTTTTTAGATTATTGACATTTTGTGACAGGAATTCTTGTCACGGCTTTCGCAGTTTTTTCTTGTCTTAAAAACAAAAGAAGCTGGGGTCAGTTCTCTTTTTTGCTTAGTTGTGAAAGCCGTTTGAGGCAGAGCGTTTATTGACACTGGAAAATGTTTTGTGCCTTCATATACACTTACAATGGTGAACTAAAAAAATTAACATGGCTATAATATGACAGCAAGTAAACCCGGAAAGCCAAAGACCATAAACCAAAGATCACAATGAWCATGAAAAAMTGACGTMAGACGTTGCTATGACAAYATMAGAACCCTTGTCGATATGCCATTAAAAATGTTCATTTAAAAAATCATAACTCAGGAACCAAATGTTGAAAATTTTCAAAAACCGGAATATTTAATGTTTGTATCGTAATCTTCTTTTTGGCAAAAAAAGGAAAAAATCTGTAATAGGCGATTCGTAAAAATCAATAAATTTGTTTGGAATAGTCCCCTCTTACAGAATTTTTTAAATTTTTTCTTAAGCTTACGAAAACATAAACTAAAGCCATATGCAAAATTTCACCACAGAAATTTTTTTTTTAGTTTGAATATTAAAATTTAAAGAGAAAAACCGTTTCGAGTCTCCTTAAATCAGCATGTGATTCACTCATGAAAGGGATGACGTCATTATACATGAACCAATCAAAAACCCGACAACAAAACAGATATATAGATAAATTTCTTACCAAAACTAAAACTCGTACCCCCGGCCTAAAGGCCTGGGCACGAGTAACTATCTATCAATGGCCTTAACGCTTCATACTTGGGTGACCATGCATCTATGAATAATTTTTTTTGTGTATRAATAATTTTTTTTGTTTCGTTTTTGTTTTCCATAATAGTCGTTCCTTTATCACATAAATATTGCGATGACATCTTTGATATCAGTATTCACCCCCGGTACGATGCCAACACTGAAGGGACATAGCCACAACTAAGAGTAATTTAACCGGTTTGTTTTGAATGACTGCTGCACTGAAAAATGAAACCGAAAAACATCTTAGGAACTGTACAAGATTACGACTGTAAAGCCTCTTCCTCAACTACAAGACTTTAAATCGTTGCCGGAATATGAAGTCCTCTATAAATAAGTTTTTAGTCGTCCTTGACGAACCGAACAAAGATTTTTCCCCTGGCGACCAAGTTCATGGGAAAGTTGTCCTCGATGTTAGGCAGGAAATCAAATTGTGGACATTGAATCTGGAGTGTCGTGGAGAGGTTTATGTCTCATGGCCTGAAAACCATGGCACATACACACGGTATCGTTTCGGGAAAGAAGAGTTGTTTCATGTGAAGGCTCGCGTCTACGGAGACACCGAAGGTAGTTATATCTAGTATATAATCAGTTGCGCGAGGATCAGGTCAATTTGACACATTACAACCGCTGTTCAATATATAGTTTAAATATATTCTCATGTAGAAATGTATCATAGACCACTGGAAAATTCTTCTTCTTCTTTACTTTTAATTTGAGCGAGAAACTGCAATTTCTATATGATGTATTTTAGCGAGAGATTTTAGCAGTCAATCACGTGGAATTTATACCTTAGTCACGGCCAGTCGCATCAGTGTCGGGAAACAATATCGACACKACAAATTAGTAGCCTTACTGTAGCCGTACCTTAGTCTTCAGGGTCTAAGCCGTAAGTACGTGTTAAGATTAAATGAATTACTGACTGGAAGACATGGAACAATTATTTCAATGTTACGACATGTCGTTTATACGTGCTGTAAGTCAGTATCTTATGTTTCCCACTCTTACGATCGATAACCATTATGGAAAGCCATTTCAACCTTACGGCATGTTGTACAGTGTACGTGCTGTAAGTATTTTTCCCACTCATACGCGTACGATAAATTTTACTTATGGCAAAAACAATTCCATTAATGTTACGGCATGTCGTATCGGGTCCGTTCCAGCTCTACGTTCRCTGGTACCATATGTTTCCCACACCGCTCTATTACGTCCATACGTCCATGCATTCGTTCAAGAAAAAATAAAACAAGACCCTGTTGGCAGGGTACACTGGAATACCTGGAGGACGTGGTTTAATTTCAACATGCAAGGAGGATTTAGTTGGTTGAGCTTCCAAAAATACTGATAAAGTCGTATTTCGTGACGTCTCGAAGTAACGATAAACCTGACCCTGGTTTACTGGTATCAGAGTCTCTAAGAATCTAAAGAAGAACTAAAAATAAGTTGCCAAAATTCGAATGACAGTGTTAAAAGCCGTTTTAAAGCAGAGCATTTATGCCATAMTCATCAAAGTCATCGCGGAATAACTCAATCTGGAACTCCAATTCCASTTCCGGKATGCGGATTTTGGCATACGGAATGAGCTTGTTGTCCACTGACGTTTCAAAAGCATGCACATTAGCACGGCTCGCTTTAAAATCAAAATGCTTCACTTMAAACTTATAAATACAGGCTAATATTTGCCCAAGACCTCTCTCATAACTGCTTTACATTTTATAATTTTATGATTTATCGATATTTTTTAATGAATCRCCTTTTTTYGAAGAAACATTAAAGGAGATCATAACGCTTCGAGGCAAAGACTAAACTAGCAAATTTTTTACTTTTTGCTTCTTTAATCAAATAGAATCTTAAAATAAATATTGCTATGTACCTCATGTTCCTTTTTGAGTAGACTTTGAAGCCTAAATAGTTAATATAAATAAATATAGGCTATAAGAATATCTATATTGTCAAGTTCAAGAGCTGAGAATAACGAGTCAAATGAATTTTACTATCGCTTATCGTAATTATGACACTTGAAACCCTGTTCTCCTCATCGATCTTCGTTTGTTCGTGCAAAAAATACGGGAGTAGATGAATCGTGAATAGTTAACCAAAAACAAGATTTTGCCCATGAAGTTCATTGAAATTTCTTAGAAATAATCGCTTCGAAATCATATCTATCTTCTCGGCTTGAAATCCTTGTTTACGAAATTGATAAATTAATCTTGTGGTTGTTTGGATAGTCTTTAGCGTTTTACGATTTTTTTTATATTTATATACCGGCTCTTGTACGACCTTAAAAATCCTTAATTAAGAACGTTCCTACGCCACTCATCTTGTGATAGACGTATACAGCAGCAGTAAGGCGGACTCGCKGAGCGTCGGCAACGCACCTGGAATTATGCGGGTATTACTGGGGCCTGGGACCCCCTTGCGCGATCCGGCGACAGCGGCGAGGAGCGCCTTACTGCTGCTGTGTTTGCGAAGATATTTAGATTCCTTGTAGGGTCGCAAACGAAGGTTAAAATATTTCCTAGATATAGATGGACAACATCACGAGCATTCGAAATAGAACTGTACGTAAGTTACGAACTCAAGTGTTGGATCGTTTGGATGCCGACTT